ATATCATTTTATAATGTATTTTATTCCATTGTGAACATACACCGGCCGTGTTTATCAGCTACACTCACTTAAGTGGTACGTTCCACTTACCACATACTGAATACTCTGCTGTAAAGTACTGGGATGGGTCCATATATTTTCAGGGGGGTGCAAAAAGAAGGGAACTCCTGTATATTTAACACAAGTTTAAATGCATTGGAGAACTGTCTTCTGTTTTGTCACCCTCCCATCTTTCGAGAGACTTAAAAAGCCCACAATAATATCAGCCTTAAATTGTTTCTCATAAATGTCCCCACCTCTAAAGAAAAAAAAGATGCTTATTATTTACCTAACATCTGTACATTTGTTTTTTTTTTTTTTGCTAACTAAAATTTAAAAACATGTTAATAGTTGTGGGTGGGGGACGACTAATCGCAAAAAAAAATAATAATCATATAATAATAATAATAATAATAATGATGATGATTTCAGGACTTTATTTATTCTCAATTAAATCTTATTTTTGTTTCTTTAAGTGTAACAGATTCTTTGTCAACTGTTTTGGGTACTCCTGTAATCTCTTGCCGCCTAGTGATAGATATTTTCTGTTAGATATGTTATTTTCGTTTAGCTGTGTTAATTCACACTATAGTTCTAATTTTGTTCGCCTGTCTTCATGTTAATTGTCGAGTCTTACGGTCTTTGCACGTTTTTGATGTTCTTTTCAGTCGTGTTTGTGTTTTTAAACGGAGTTTTATCTCTAGGTTACCTTCTTCTTACAATCGTATTGTTTCTGAAAATAGTAACATTGATATCTTTTTTTAACAGTCTTAAATATTTCCATTAATTTTTTCATCATCAGGAATGATCTAAAAGTCCCCAATTCTTAAAATTTTCTCACCTCAGCCTCATCCATGATGGATGAGGCTCAGGTGGTTATAGTTTTTTTTGTAGTTTTTATGTATTAAAGTGCCATTTTCCGGCATCTAAAAGTCTCAAATTCTTACAATTGTCTTGCCTCAGCCTCAACAATGATGGGCTGATGTGGATGGATTGGTAGTTTTCATAAATTTTAAGTATTCAAGTGCCGTTTTCGGGCATCTAAAGTCTCATCGTCAAAATGTATTCATCTGCCTCCCAAAACCATGGTGGGGCTCAGGTAGGTATCGTACATTTTGTACAATTCAAGTGCTATTTTTTGGACATTTATACAAGTCTCAGATTTTTAAACATTTCTTTTTTTTTATCTTTTGTGGGAATTTTTAAACGTTTCTCACCTGAGCCCCAACTATTGTGGGGCTCAGTTGGATATAGTAGTTTTGGTTTTTTTTAAATAATTTTAAGTACTTAATTACAACTTTCGGGTACGGTTTTTTTTAGTCAATTCGTCAAAAATAAAAAGAATTAAATGGTAAATTTAAGTTCCATTTCTGGGATAACATACTGAAATGTTCGCGTCACCGCCAACCATGGTGTCGCTGACGTGGTGTGGATTCTCATTTCATCAGCACCCTCCTTCCTTATATCCTGCATACGCCACTGTTGCTGAAAACAACAGCTAAGCAAAATATATTTTCATTGGTTTTGTTGTTCATGTGAATGACTGATAGGTTATTACTTTAAAACAATGCTAAAAACACACGTTTCAATGCCAACACAGACACATGTAGGACTGAGCTGAGAGACTCCGAATTAGTAGCGTGACGTTTGTTATGCAGTGATCATGCGCTATAGAAATGGAAGACCATGATTACATGGCAATGTACCTCTGGTAGGGTCTACAGTACAATCAGTGTAAAAGTGTAAGATATAGGTTAGTGTGGATTTAAACAATGTCCTAATGGTAATTTTCAATATAAGTGTCAAGGAAATTAAGTATGATTGTTGGAAATAGGGTCAACATTTTATTTTTATTTCTCACCTTGACCATCGCCTTTGCAAACTGGACGAAGGTCTGGATCCGCGCCTGTATCATGATGGCTTGTATATATTCACGTGTTCCGTTTATTTACAATTTTTAGCACAGAAATGTAAAATAAAAATTCACAATAGATTAATGTGTTGGTGTTTACTTCTATTTTCGAGAAGTAGTAGGCTTAAATATTTTGATGAGTTCATATGACATTTAAGTGTGTAGACCCAATCTTGTAGGTACGTAAACAATTACATTCTAGAAATGAAACATTAAACATACAAGAGACCAAGGGAATGACTGCAACACTGCATTGGCATGGCCACCAGAAGAAAAGCGAAGAAGACCAAAAACAACATGGAGACGAATGGTGGAAAAAGAACGAAATAAATGACGATGGACATCATGGTGGGGTGGGGGAGCAGCTAGAGTTGCAGCAGCCAACAGGGATAGATGGAGGCATTCTGTTGAAGCCTATGCGACACATGACGCGAACAAGTTAATTAAGGTAAGGTAAGAAATGAAACATTAACCTGTAAAATGGTAAGGAAATTTGCACAATACTTTAATTATAATTTGAGTAGGATGAAAATATTGTTGGATTGTGCTTTTTGACGACGGAGTCTGAATAATTACCCTACTAAACGTGCAACGTGCAGCTGTTGCTGCCTACAGTCAACTCTTCATAACAATTCCATCTTTCTTATTGGTTACTTTATTAAATATTTTTATTAGCAGAATATTCATTAAAAAATTAATGAATTGAAATTGGGTGGCCAAGCTTCTGGTGACGAAGCAGAGATCACATCGAACTGGACTCTGACGTGGATGAAGACGATATAATCGACATCGAAGACCTCGATATCATGTTGGCTCATTGAATGCTGGGCATTATTATCAAAGAAAAAATGTTTCGAAAAATGTGTTGTACTTAAATTTCATGAACAAAAAGTTAATCGTAAATTAAAAAAAAAAAAATGTCCCATAATAATAATAATAATAATTATAAGAATAATTATTATTATTATTATTGTTATTATTATAGTAGTAGTAGTAATAAAAATAGTAGTAATAAAAATAATAATGATAATAATAATAATAATAATAATAATAATAATAATAATAATAATAATAATAATTTTTTAATAATCGCCGCTCTCGAATAAGCGCCGCACAGAAGCCTTCAAAAATGTGTATAAGCGCCGCGGCGCTTATTCGAGCATTTAAGGTCGTACCTACCTGACATAACAAGACTAGTGTATAGCGATGAAATAAAAAAACTGCGGTTCAACATTTTCTGCATCCGGCTGTTAGGTTTTTACATTTACAAATTTTGACTTTCAGGCTCAAATTGACTATGTGTTACTAACACTGAAGCAGTTTTGCGAGAATTTAAAAGCAACACAATAATGCAACAGCTGGGAAAATTGGTGGCGCTGTAATATCAGTTACCAATTTGTCGGTACATATTTTGAGGTAGAGTATTAGACCAATCATAATTGTGACGGATAATGGATATGCCATTATTGCCAACTCTTGATTGCGTGCTGTTGTTGTTGTATTAGAGGAGCTATATTATAAAATTGAGGAAGGCCTTTATGTTTGTGCCGATTTGCCGATAAAAAGTTTAAAAAAAAATGTAAATTACCAACCAAGTACTGTAGATTACAGTATTTACTGTAGTTATTATCAAATGGAATTGGAATAAAAACTGCATTACATCATCATTGAAAATAGCAGCAATTATTGATAAATACAATATACGAGGAATATAAAAAATGTATTAAAGTAATTACACTTTACTTAGTGAATAAAGCCTTAAGCAAACATTAGTTCCTTATTATTTCCAAATCCATTTAATTTCTGCACATCTTTTGTTTAGAGACAATGTTGTTATCTATAATGATGCATTTCATAAATTTAATGACTTTGACTGAACGCTTCAACGGAACTAGACACACAATATTAATTAAATGAGATCATTCACCCGATACACCAACTCAACACACGATACACCCGATACAGCAAACATGTGTGTTTTCTGTCTGGCCTGTTACCGTCTGCAGAGCCAAAAATTCCAGGGTTTTTGCTCTCTGGACGAGGAACCGTGGGTGTATCGGGTGCATCATTGTACATACGACCTTTAGTTCTATCAACGAAGGAAGATGTGTAAACATTAAATGGAATTTTTTAAACTCATAAAATAGGAGCTAATAAAGAACTACGTTTTGCCTCAGGCTTTATATTCACTAACTAAAGTGTAATTACTAATTTGCATTCCTGATATATTATTTTAATTGCTGATATTTTCTTCTATGATCATTTTAATGGCTTTTTATTTCAGACCCATTTGATAATAATCTGCAGTTAATGTTCCGCTTCATTTTATTCTTAATTCATTTTTGACTTTCATTATTTATGTATAATACCCATAGTATGGGCATATCTTTTGTCAATTTTCACTGGATTGTTTCTGTGGAAATCTAAAAAAAAGACCCACCATGGACAATAACCACACACAATGTTAAATTCCATTGTTAAAGTGGGGTGACGGGGCAGTGGGGTGAAATTTTTGTGTGGGTAGGTTTCACTTTGACTTCCTATTATACACCTTTATTTCATTATTATACTTTAAAAAACAAGCATGTAGGTTAATAAGCATTGTTTGTAGATTTCTTCAATCATTGTGCTTAAAGCTTTCCATTTTGTAGTCATCTTAACACAACATTACTTCTAAACTTTATGGAAATTCAAATGTAAAATTTGTAGTAAAATTTTAATACAGCAATAACATTTTCTATAGTTATGGTATTTTCAGCATTGTTTAGTTCGTAAATATTGTAACTTTATTAAAATTTCTAAAAGGATTTGTACCAGTTGGGTTTCTGAGTAGTCGTTGAAACAATAACAGGCAGACACACAGACTATCAACTATTCATCTTCAGTTGTCTTTAGGCCGGGTTTTACAACCCATACTGGTCACTTATATCACTTATTAGCTCCTTTTATTTCTCTCTGTCGATTGCTCGTTTTTTGTGCTTGTTTAATAGTCAAGGCCAATGTCTATATCATAGTGAGCCATAGTTTCTGTCGTCCTACTTTCTTTTTAATTTTTCCTTCGGCTTCGGCAAGTGCTTGTTTGACCATCGTAGACTTTTCACATCATGAATGACCTTGGACCATTGAGTAGCCCCAGTAATATCATAAACTTTACAGTTCCTCATTGTTTTAGGATAACTGATTCCCAACAGACGTCTTAAGAGTCGTCTGTGAAAGGCATACATTGTTTATTTTAATGTTGTTGTAAGAGTCCATAGCTCTGAGTTGTACAGGAAAATACTAGATATGAAGGCAGTGAAGATTCTGAATCGCTACGATTGCGCAGTGACGACGTGCAGGCCTTCTCGGAGGCACAGTCAAATCTCACTATCAACTATTTTGTAACATTATGCCATTGTTTTTGTTCTAGCCATTTCTTTTCACTTAGCTAGAACAATGCCACTGCATTGGCTTTCTAGCCACCCCACCCTTTTTGCACAGACTGTGGATTTTAGCTTTTGTATTAGCCTTTTCACACGTAGACTCAGCTAGTGTTTAGTTTTCAACCAATCACCAGCAAGTCTCACCAACCAAAACAGATATAAGTATATCATATTTTGGTATATCTGCAGATATTATTCTCATGAAGACGATTGGAGCAACTCAATCGAAACGTCGAGATATTCTCAACCAACAACAGTTCTTTTCAGAACTATCTACGCGGTGTACAGAAAGCATAATACATATAACTATTACGTAACATATGCCAGTAGATACCGTGGATTAGTTCCATGCGTGTGCGTGCATCTATATACACGACTGACACACGCCACTAACGTGACGTATCACAACAGTACTGACTTCTTTTAAAAAATACTTTTAATTAAATAGTTCCCCTCAACTAAACACAACAATTTATATTCATAAAGGCCATCGAAGAAATAATAATTATAGTTACAATTCAATCAAAATAGATAACAAGATATTAAGATCGTATTAACATACATGTTGTCAAAATAATTTAATAAGTTTTATACGTCGTAATGTAATTTTTAACACAATGTAACCTAATTCAAAGATAAAGGTTTCTGTCTATGAAAAGCATTAAAGTGACGTAGAATGTGATGGAAATAATTTGTTTTAGCTAGTACTAACCTGTCGTCAACAAAACGAGAATAAAACTTAATGATACCTGAATCTATAAGTTTAGGAATAGAGTGTTATTAGTTCAGTCATAAGGCGAGTCGGTTGGCCGAGCGGTTTAGACAGGGGAAACGTGACATACAGCCATATTATCGGCGTTCATGGTTTGAACGGCACGCTCGCCTATGGTTCCGGTGGTGGAACAAGTCTTCTCGGATAAGGACTCTAAATCGTAGGTCCAGTGTACACAATTGGCTCGTGTGCACTTTAAAGAACCCAGTACATCATTCGGAAAGAGTAGGGGGTTACCCCGGTACTGGTTCATTTTCAGTCCCCGTCCGGTCACAGAAGGAGCGTTTACGTTGCGGCCCATGCCACGTATCCATCCTACCTGCGAATCCTTCTACCACACTACGTAAGCAAGATCATACACAATAGCTACGTAGTGACTCGATAAGAATAGAAGGAGTTCAGGCATTATACTATTGGCTAAAACTGGGCCAAGAGATGGACCCATTGAATCACCATCAGCTTCTTTATTCATTCACTACTTAACTCAACTTTACTTTACTGCAATCAGGAATATAATAACATTTGATTGAAGTTTAACAATTCTCTTTCTTTGAAAAAACACCTTGCATAGAAATTAACCGTTTAAGTAATCTAGGCCTATAGTATTAGCACCATCTGTTCCGGAATATTGATTTAAAATGTATTGTATTCTAATTGTAAATTTATCAATTAATTTTATTGTCTTTTAGGCTTACATTTTTCTTTAATTAAATAGACCAATGCGTATGTTTACAAATGCAGATTATAAGTAACTTGAGACGTTTAGGACTTTTTAGAAATTATTGAATGTAAATAAACTATATATATTTTTAGAATTGTAAATATTCTTATATATATATCCTTTTCAGAAGTTTTCCCTGTGTAGATCAATCATTTTTTTAATTCTAAATTGTAATTTTTAAATTTTAATCACTATTTTAAAGTTATATGAGCCCCTAACCCTTTTGTTTTCAAATTCAATACCCTCATTATTTTAATGGGCAAGAAGATTCTTTTGTGACTGTAAATCCAGCACTGGCAGACTTATCTCCCTTTTGTCTCAATTTTCACTCTCATTGTTACCAATTTCTAAAGATCACACAATAATAGTGGACTATAAATTTTAAGGAAACATGACAAACCTAACACGTCACGCTACACATCGCCACCTAATAACACCACCTTTTGTTTTTTCATATTTCAATAAACCCTCAAATCCCACCTTCATATGCTTCAACCATTATGAGTTAAATAAAATTAATAAAATTATTTAAAATAAATTATGAATTATGATGACGTAACATTCTATTGTTGGCCTATACCTCCATATATACTACTTAAGTAATCTAGGCCTATAGTATTAGCACCATCTGTTCCGGAATATTGATTTAAAATGTATTGTATTCTAATTGTAAATTTATCAATTAATTTTATTGTCTTTTAGTCTTACATTTTTCTTTAATTAAATAGACCAATGCGTATGTTTACAAATGCAGATTATAAGTAACTTGAGACGTTTAGAAATTATTGAATGTAAATAAACTATATATTTTTTTAGAATTGTAAATATTCTTATATATATCCTTTTCAGAAGTTTTCCCTGTGTAGACCATGTAGATCAATCATTTTTTTTTTATTCTAAATTGTAATTTTTAAATTTTAATCACTATTTTAAAGTTATATGGAATTTATATGAATGTTTAAATTGTAACTATTATTCAACCAATCCTGTCTTTGTAGTTTAAAATTGTAATTCTTTTTATTTATATAATTATTTATTTTTATATGAACCTCTTTCGTGCATTTGTCAATGCCTCGATGTTGTGTCAACGTGAGGCGCTATATAAATCCAGAATTATTATTATTATTACTAAAGGGTAAAGGTAGGAGAATAACCAATAACTTGCAGCGTCATTGTGCTGAATTGCGTATGGGCGTGGTCCAGTACTACCTAGCCGTAAAATGGTTTTTTTAAAGTGCACACGAGCCAGATGTATACACTGGACCTCCATTTTAAGTCCTTATCCGAGAAAACTTGGTTCTACCTACCGAACCATGGGCGAGGAGCGGATGGAGCCAGCGAGCTAGTGGCGCCCCTGCCTTACCGCTCGGCCACTGGACTCGCAAGAGAGATATAGAGATCT